GAGATTGGAGTTCTGCTTGCTCCTCCATCTCGGAAGGACATGACGAATAGCAGCCCAAAGCCGCCGTGAGCCGCGAGAGGACTCAGAGCCAGCTTGGGCGGCCAATGACTCGTAAAAGTCAATGTCGTCTTGTCGGACTGCAGTCACGACACGAGGGGAGAGGTCAGCAAAATGCGCGGCATGAACTGCTTCAAGTCGGTCACAATGTCGCAACCAAGGCTGGAACTGGATTTCACAAGGATGCTGACGACGCCAACTGTCAAAAACCTGCCGCAAAATCGCCTGTCTCCGGTGTCGTCTGATCTTGCCAAGCTGATGTCGATGAAATCGTTTGGCAGCAATCAATTTGATGGTGTCGGCAGAAAGGTGCTTTTTGCGCATGACCTTATTGGACTGCATTGGTTGTTGCCAAAGACATTGAAGCATAGCTGCATGCGTGTGGACATCAGTCGCCCAGGTAGGATGGGTCGTAACTTCCGTCACAAGGAAGGGCGGTCGCTTCCTCGGCAATGCAACATGATGAAAGTCGATGGGCACCTGGGCTCGCACACAGGCATGATCTTCACGACGTAGTGATAAATCAATACGCTCCTCAACCCATGTAGACAACTGTGTTGATCGCAAGGCTTCAGAGCACGCCACATAGTCGAGCCTGGCCTTGGTGCCTGTAGAGTGTGTCCAGGTCATCCCTTCTCCATGATGATGTTCAGCAAATGTCTGAGGCAAGAATAAAGAACGTTCCAACAACCAACGATGAAAGTAGAGGCCCTTTTCATTCTCAATGGTTGCCTGATGATCGCCAACCGCATCTGTGTTTGAAGAGCCAAGGCGACTGTTGGCATCCGCAAGCACAATACACTTCCAACTGCGGTAGGCTTGCGGTATGGCAGCGGAGGTAGCCGTCCAAAATTTGCTGAGGGTCGCTTCGTCATCGTCAGTGGGGGCATGTAGCACAATCAAAATCAAACGAAGCCCACCGCAAGCAAGTCGCACTACAAGACGACGAGAGCTTGCATGCAAGATGAACAAGTGACTCTGTTCAATATCAAGACGGAGCTGCTCATCATGTAAAGTTCTCTTGACCCAAAGTTGGACGCCTCCATGACCTCGTTTCTGAGCAGGCGCAGAAAGCACATGGTAATTGTCAAGCATGGTGTGTCCATCCAAGCGCGACCTGGTTTCTTGAAGACCAATGATCTGCAAATTGTACTCATGGAATTGACGTGCAAGGCTCTCAGCACGTGCTCCCATGTATCGTGATGCATGGTCTTGCTCTGGGTAAAGCGTGAGGACATTCGCTGTACCAACTTGGAGGTTCAGGTGCACCATTTCACGTGGTCCGTCAGGTTGTAGGTCACGACGCTTCATGGCAGGATGGATTGCTGCATTAGGCTCGCTCAACAAGGGTTGGGCAATATCCAAACGCCATCGAAGGTGAACCAACGGAGGAGCATCAGGACATCCTTGAAGAGAGCGTTCAAATAGCCATAGCCATTGGATCATGTGCAAGTCATTGCCGTCAAAGGTACATTGTTGATGAAATACATCAAGGTCAAACAATGTTGCATCATGATTCAGCGTATGTTTGCAAAGGGCATCAGCAGCTTCATTCCATGGATGGCCATGATGACTGCGAAGATGTGTCCAAGTGAAGGCAGTTGATAAATCAGACTCAATCCAATGCAACAATGCTCTTATTGGTAGATGAAGGTCGCAATTGTGATCACCACCTTGGCGTCCTTGAGCAATCCCTGCAACGTGTTGGCAATCAAACGCAAACTCATACCACGGCTTCTTCTCCTTGTACTTGGCAGAAAGCTGGAGACACCATCGAATAGCCAGCATCAAGGCTGTAGCTTCAGCACGTGGCGCTGAGGGCGAACCAAGGCAAGAAGTTGTTGCGAAACCACCCCATCTGGGTCCATCTGCCGTGGTCACAACAAGGACAACTGCTGCAGCAGCCTGCCCAGAACCTCTGTGAGACGATCCATCAGTGTAAAAGGTGAAACCAACTGGGATTTCACCAGACCAGTCGCTGACAGCACCAAATGCATCAGAGGTGGATGAATGCCAATCACAAAATGCCCGATCAAACATAGGCTGAATGGGCGGAAAACTACGCAACTGATTGCGCAGAAAATCAAGACGTTGACAGTCAATCTCAACCCAAATGGATGGTGCAGGAACAGGAACAAGTCGTTCCAACTGAATCTGTGTGCGGGTGGTAAGCTGATGCTGTAGCATTGAAGTGACATCGTCATGTGCTGCATTTGGATTCCCTCCGTCAAACTGATTAGAAGATGGAGTCTGCGCACACACTACCAATGCTGCACCGTGCTGCAGTTCAGGCTGCGGAATGTCCGTGATGTCAAGGTCACTCCACCATGTACGCAGTCCAGTTGGTTGTTGCCCACTGTGAAGACCCTGCGCAATGAGACGCATCAAATGCTGGTGCGGCTGAGAGCGGGGTAATGTGTAACACATCAAAACTGCGTCGCCAGCACGTACTTCGCCTCCATAGACGGTCGCCAAAACAGAAACATGGTCAGGTTGAGGATTTTGCACAAGGATCAGTTGTGCTGCTGCATCAGGATCTCCAACTCCAACATGTGTTTCAACAGTATGACAGCTCCATGGCAAAGTTGGATCAAGAAGGTCATCCCATGCGGCGATGATCGCCGTCATCCAATCAATGCTGTCCTGCGGCAACAGCACCAATCGCCCAATGCCGCTATGTGGACGCCGTAGATGATCACTGAACCATACTTCCAAATAAATACCAGCCTCAAGGGTAGCAGGTTGCATCCCGTTCGATCGAGAAAGAAACTCATGCAATCGCCTTGTGAAAGAGGCAAGAGCGTCTGGCGTGGCAGTCAGATATGTGTGCCCGGTGCCTGGAGGGTGCTGTGCTGATGAAAATGTTGACGAAGCATCTGCTCCAGGAGGACCAGGACATAGTACCATTTGCGACGAGCATAATTGAGCAACTTCAGACATCAACATTTGATCTGCCGGCAAGGGACGAGGCGTTCCATATGGCAGCGGTTGTTGGACAAAAGTTGAGACGTCATCATCAGCATGTTGTGGATACATCCTGCGCTCATAATCATCAGCTTCAGTCATGCCACCTTCATGTTGAGGACTTCTGGGACGAGCATGATGTCGAAGTCGTTTCTGACCTCGTCGATGTCGTGATTGGCTAACACATGACCGGGTCGAGACAGTCAAGGCAGCTTTCGGTTCTGGAGGCACTGCAAGTCTCAAGTAATCGCCATGCTCGAGGAAAAATGTTCCGTGGCGCTGCAGTTTGATGATCTGATGATTGCGCCACATCAAACATTTGGACCTTTGCTTTTCGCAATATGTCTCGAGTCCGAGCAAACGAAGTAAAGTACGACGATGAACTTGATGAGGCAATGACAGACATCTCCTGGAGGTAGAATGGTCTGTAGAAGGCCAATGTTCGTGAAACTCAATGTCGACAAGGACAAGTCGATGCACAGAGCCAATCGGCAAGTCACTTACGGTTTGCATCAACAGGACCTCAGTATGAGCTGCTTGCAAATCCGCTGGACGATGTTCCACATGATGACAAAAGGCGATGTCATCTTCATCAACGTTGGTAAGGGCTGCAACGCGCTGCTGAAATGTGAAAGCATCATCCCAAGGCAAATGTCCATGAAAGACACGCCTCCGTGTGCGAAACACGTGGGTGAATCTCCAATCCTGACCAATATCTGCAGCTTCATCATCGCTTGAACTGGATTCATCGGCATCTGGCTCAGGTTGCTGTTCATGTTCATGATTTTGAACTACCTGTGGCAACTCAAAGATGGGCTGATCCGGAGGATAGTTGCGTCGGGTCCAAGCAGCAAATGACACAATGTCCTCCTCCGGCTGCGGCACACGAATGTCAATGTCAATGGCAATGCCGTCAGGAATTTGTTCAAGTTCATCTACAGCAAACATCATAATTCCACTTCTGGCAACCCACCTTCGATCCTGCGTCAAATGCGCAATTCGAAGTAGATCAACAGCTCTGGACCCACACATCCAATCTGGTGCTGACACTGCCTCTTGCAGAAGCTGAGTGCGATGATCTTCAATAAATCTCGCAGTCATAACAGTGCCAGCTCGATCAATGCGATGACCTTGAGAAAGGATGACATGTGGTGCGAAAGGTTGATCATCTGCTCGTGGAGGTGTAGGAACAACGAAGGTGAGGTGCAATGGTTCACCATCTCGAATCATATGTGCCCATGCAGCTCGCAAATCGCCTAGCCAGAGATGATCCATGTAGTCAAGATGAACCGTTCTGGGATTGCTGCAACGTGGGACATCGTCGTGGTGCAAATACCATGTCTTGACTGGCAAAGTGCGTCCTTCCCCTGCATGTTCTCTTGTAGCGTGCTCACGCCAAACGCTACGTAGTGGAGGAAGCCATGATGATTGCCGGTCATATATGGCAAGATCAGTTGGTTCTGGTAGATGATCAAGAAATGAGGGAGGAACTTCTCGTACTTGTCCATCTGATTGAGATGAGTGCGCAAGGGAACAGCGTGTGAGGCGACAATCACGTAAAGAGCACTCGCTCTCCATTGGGCTCGACACGGCCATGTCTGACAGCGGTTCCACAATGGAAGAGGGCTCAATATGGAGGTTCCATGGTTTGTCACTCCAAAAGCGCAAATCATCACAAGAAAGAGTGCAAGATGAAAATGAATCATCAACACCACCGATGATCACTTCAATCAAGTTGGAAAACGAAACTTTGAGATCTGAATGCCGTGGTCTGTCTCGTGCATGACGATCAAGATGGTTGTTGGACCCTTCCAACATCCGGGAACATTCATCAAAGCCTATCGCCTCGATGCATTGATCAACTGCATGTTCACGAGCTCGCCAAGGGTTCATGAAATTGTTCTCCATCAAAATCGAATGCGTCCATTGCCAAGTGCAGTAAGCTGCACCATTGCATGTAAGGGGTGGACAAACCTCTTTCAAGTCTGTTTGCCCCCCTTGCCAAAAGGCTGCATGCTTTGGCTTCCAATGATCTCCACGTCCTTCTCGTCCGATTTCTCGATGCGAGGCTTCTTGGCAAGCTTGTCGTCGGTCATTTCGGATTGGCGTTCGCGAATGCGTTCGAGGGTGTTGACCATGGAACGCAAGTCGTCCTGAATACCAGGTGTGTTGTCGGCCATCAGCTCGTCGTCGTTGACTTCGATGCTGTCCTCTGTTGTGAGGTCCGAGGCAGCCACCGCTTCCTTGGAAGCTTCCACCTCGTTTTTGGCACTTTGATATTTCTCCATGACCGTCTGAATAGCTGCCACGTGCTCGGCATCTTTGACCTCGAAATCCTCGATATGTTTGTTCCAACGCACGACAGCCTCCGAGATGAACTTGGCCCAGGACTCGTGCATGTTTTGACGAGCTGTGCGCGCCTTGGCTAATTGTTCTCGTGCGGATCGAAGACGTGATGCTGCACTCTGCAATTGCTTGGCTGGATCGATGGCTGCAAGTTTCTGAGCATTGGAGATGGCCTTCTGCATGTCTGCGGTGAGCGGTTGGTCCATCTGAGAAACTGCATTCAATATTTCCTTCAAATGCATTTCGGCTGCAGAGACCGTAGTTGAGGAAGCGGTCGATTCGTCTTTGCTGGGTCGATCTGGCTCCCAATGAGGTTCGGCAGGAGGCACTCGACGTCCAGGATTCTGCTTGGGCTTGGTCTGCTTGGCCGGCCTTGCCGGCGATTTGTGAGTGTTCCTTCTCGGTGACTTCGCACTTCCCTGATAATGCCAAGGTCCATCGGAAATCTCCTCCTGATTGCCATAAGTCCAACCAGTTTGACCTCTTCGACGAGGCGAACGGGATGGTGGCTTTGGTTGTCGGCGTCTTGGAGATTGGGGCATAGCATTCTGCCAATGTGTCCCACACCAAGGGCAGTTGGAAAAAGATCCTTTCACTGTCTTGCGACACCACTCGCAGTACCACGGTGTGGTAGCCATCCCGAACTTGATTTTGCGCAAGAAGCTCCTGTCTCCAGAGTGATGACTCCTTAGAGTCAATAGAACTGAATGCAGTTGCTGTTTCGACAGCGGGGCAGCACCAGAACGGTGAAAATGCCAAGCTTGACGAGCAGCTGCACGCTGTCTCCTGAGTCGCCGCCGCAACGTAGGAGTAATAGTTCAGAAGGAGCACGAAGGCAAAGGCCAGGAAGAAGCACATGCACCAGTCGTGCCAGTGTCAAAGTCCTGAATCTCGCTGAAGTGCAAGAGGACAATGAAGAGCAGGATCACGAAGCCGTGCAAGGAACAGGTGATGTTAGTTGGCTAGACTAACAGAGCACGTTGCGTTGTGCAAGCGCCAGGGCGGACCAGTTCAGCGCAGCACAAAAGCAAAGGCAAGGATATTGCCCGCGGGTCGTCCCGCTAAGGATTGTTCAGGGGATATTGAGCGGGGGTCCCCTTGAACCAAACCTTATACGAGATTCTACCCAAATGAAACAGGTGAACAGGTGACATCTCATTCATGTCGCTGACTTTCCATTTCCAAAGGACGGCATTGGGGTGCGATACGGGTACCACAAAGATACACAAAGCAAATGCCATTTGGCAAACAAGTACGGTAATGGACCAATGGGTGATTATGTTGAACCACTGGCTCCCATCCAATCTGGGTCCCATCCTGACTTCAAAATGCCGGGCAAGGCTTTCCGGAGCGTCTCCGCCGTGTGCCAGCGGTCATGCACCACTATGATGGCCCCCGGGCGTACACGACACCTGTGTCAGGCAGGGAACTTGTGATATTTCCAAATATTTCCTGGTGAAATACTGCGGTTCTTTGAAGGGGTTTATATACAGTAGCCAAAATTTGGGGAGCATTGGGGATACAACTGACATCAAGTGATCAACAATCCACCACCTCTAAGAGAGATTGCTTGATCGCTGAAGCACAGAGCCGAAAAAACGTAGTCGCTGATCATGAAGTGATTAGTAATGAACAATCGCGAACACCCAGACAAGAAACCTGCAAGGGCAGGGACACCCCAGCCATTAGTGTACCCTTGCTTTTTCCCTGAAACAAACCAAATTTGGACCCATTTTCGGGGTACCAATTTCCCGACATTTCCCAACTCCAGTTGAAGACGCCTGAGGTAAAGGCTGTTCACAAAACGCGTAACAGAAGCAACATCATGCCTGAGTTCACATCTGGGGTGGTCCAAAAAATCACCGGGACACATGGTGAATTTGCTGAACCACTTGAAGAATGGAGATGTGATCCGGAGCGTTTCTGGTTCAAGCGAAGCTTCCGAATTTGCTAACGCAGTTGTTTTTGGGTGGTCTCAAGTCTGAGGAACTATGGAAATGCACTGTATGGACATAAGAATGGATGGGCAATACACTAGGGTATCAATCATTTGCCAATTTCATGCACCTTTTATATGACTTCCGCTAATCAAAATTGGCAATGGGCATTTCCCCATTTATATAAACATGCTTTTTCATTGTATGTATCGTTTGAAGTAACACACTCTATAAGTGCTACTGATCATATTCTGGAATTAAAAAATATTATATATGTCTGAAATTTTAAATCTTTAAAACATATATTTAACGAAATTAGTATTTATATATAACTATTAATAAAACTTCTATTTTAAAAAAATAATTTAAAGTATGTAATGGACATATGTATCATTTTCATGCAATATTTTCAAATATATTTCTCAAATACACTTCTTTTCCCATGAAAATATCCATGTATGGTGGATTTCCCATCCAGCCATGTTGATTCTCGGACCGCTGCTCCGCTCCTGGGGATATCCAACAGCTATTTGGATGTGCATCCGAGTTGGGGTCCATCATACGGTATGTCCTATCCCACTCAAAAATGGGATGACTGGGATGTGCCCCACTTGAAAACTGCTATAACGTTTGTAATTATCATTATCACCATCAATATTTGTATGATTTACATTGATGTACTATTATCATTATTATTGCGAGATATTGCGAGTAGAAAAACGATGGTAGTGACAATGATGGTAGTGATACTGTAATGGCAATAACTTATTGCCATTACAGTATCACTACAGTACCATCATTTGTATGTTGGATACCACTGTCATCATTTAAATACGGTTATGCAACCACTTTCTAGCTCGAATGCAAACATCCACTGGTATTCTGTTGGGCAAATTACAGGGGTCAGTTTTGTATACCAATTGCCATCATTCATCCGTTGTTTGTTCAATGGAAGGTTACTCCTCTGTTGATCAAGCAACCAGCGGGAATTTGAATGAGCTTGGGACATCTACGACACCAATTCGTCCCAATGGTCATTCAATCTGGCAATGGAATCTTCTTTCAATTCCATGCAATTCCATGCAATTCCACCCTTGATCATCGTTGATAGATGATTTCCCTATCATCCTATCTGTCACTAGGCTGAACTCATGGAAACCTCTGCCTCGTTCCAAGGCTCGGATAGCAGCTGGCGATGGCTGTGCGGTAGCCCTTCTCTCGCGCACGGCGAAGCATGTGCCTTTGCACCAGTGCTGCGCTCAGATCTGTCACGTTTCAATGGTTTTCAAAGGGCCTTGAAACAGGCCCGTTTAAGAAGCCGAAACGATGGCCTTGATTTCCACATTTTACGGATGTAACACGATGAAACCAGTTGAAACCTTGATTTTGCATGATTTTGGTATATTTTTGTCAATTCTATGCCTAGGGTCTTTGTGGCGCATAACAGTGTCCGTCCAAAATGGTCAGAGTCAGGAACTCGTTGGTGGTTTCACCCCCCTTGGCAAACATAAAGGTATATATATATATGTATATGTATGTATTATATATATATATGTATGAGAGAGTCATTGGGGATCAGAATCCATCATCCTCCCAGGTGGGATCGGCAAATCACCTTTAGAGTATGGGTCAAATTTTGGTTCCCGCTTTCAGGGATGGTGAATACTGAAAACTGCCAAAATCTGCGGTCTCATGGACCTTAACTTTTGACCCATAACCAACCATATGCTGGGAATCACCAGTCAATTTAGGCTTAATGTGCCAACCACCAGCTGTGGCTCAATCATGGACTTGATGCAGTTACGGGCCACTGCTGCAGGGAAACCGTGAACGACTCATCCATAGAGTGAAGCGGGCTGCAAACACAACCGGGGTGTTTAAAACGAGCAAAATGATCCAAAATTGAGATACAATTGTGGATCTGACAGTAAACAACAGAAGCAGTGGGCTTTATACAACTAAACATAATTTGATAGGTGATTTCAATCAATTCCAAAACGCTGTGACCACGATGTGACATTATGTAACCAAATAATTAGCTCAGGATAGCTTAAGGGATACGTCAGTCCTTCATCAGATTCGTAGCTGAGAACCTGGACACATCCACGTTTGGACGCGTCAACCTCCTCATCAGTGTTGTGTCACACATGGATATATATGAGACACACAATTGTTCTTGGTATTTCCATGTATGCCCAAATGATGGTTTCCAAAAACGGGGGATCCCCAAAATGGATGGTTTATATATTGGAAAATCCTACTAAAATGGATGATTTAGAGGTACGACTATTTTACGAAACTCTCATATCATATATAACTCATATCCCTTATCTGAACAGTGACATACAACGACCATGTCCCCATGGCAATGGCATGCCATGGCTGTGGACACGTCTCAGGGCCGTACTTGTTCCACAAGGCCGACGCTGGTCGAAACCAATGATACGAACTCTTCTTCCAAGCACCTGGAGACTCTGGGATGACGGCTAGATCAGCTCTGAATGATCTATGGAATTCCACTGGTGACCATTGGACTTGTGGTGAGATATCCTATGGAATATGGCTATCATGACCTTTATGGTGAGATATGATGAGTGAAACTTGCACTTCTCACCATCGGTGATCCGAGCTCCTCTCTCAATGATCTCAGCACCTGCCTATGTGGGCATGTTCAATGCCAGTGCCAATGGCCACACTGGAGAGAGGCGCGCACACACACATATACACACACACACAAACTTTGTCATAGTCAAATCATGTCAAACCAATGATGATGATAACCTTATATGCAGTATTTGCATGCATTTGCATGCATTGGCCTTGATGTGTGTATAGATGATGTCTACCCCTTTGACGAACCGCTCCATAAAATGAACGGTCAACTCCAATTCGTCGAACAGTTCATTACAATTTTCAATGTGAGGATATGATGGCAAATGGTATCATGATCTAGGCCATCTTATGGGATTTTCAGGGCCAATTACCGACTCAAGCTGCATGGATCTCCTGCTTTTCGCCTCGCCTCTGAAACAAGTTGCTCCACAGCTTAGCTCCAGGGCCCTTTGCCGGGATTCGCTCTATCCGAGGAACTCCCGACTTGGTCACATCTTTGGGGACGGCTTGAGCATGGCGAACCTTCGAACCGTGGCAGGGATTTCAGCTCAAGGATTGACAGCTAAATTTCATACCAAACATATGACAGAACAACCCTGGACCACTTTCTCCGGGCTTGGGTTCATCGCTTTTCATCGATCAACCACAAGGAACCAATTTAGAGTCACACCGTTGATCACGGAAACTCGGGGCCCATCGTGGCAAAATTCCGTGGAACGCCGTGCCACAACTGCCCGGGGCTCGTTCAAAACCGATGAAGCCCACGTGAAATTGTGTCAATTTATTGAAAATCCAGAAACTGAATGTTGCTGCGTCGTGCTGCGTCCTCATGTATTCGATGGCATGATTTTCTACATCCAAACAAAGCCCGTCCGAGCTCCCAAGAAGTGTCCTCCGTGATCGTGCGACTAACCCAACTCTATACGTTTGATGGCATCTCCTTTAACGGGCTCCGAGATAGAACTCTCGGGGGGCGCAGGGAATACAGAAGCCGACTGGCACTTGCTCGCTTGGAAGGCGTCTCAGATTGCTATCAGCAAAGTTTTGTGGATAAAAGTCGAACATATTTCAGAGATTTTGAACCATGCAAATAGGTCTGTCTTCACAAAAAAACAAAGCACGCTTCAGCAACCCTGACAAAAGGACTACTACGCTTTGCAACTCACGTGGCCAATAGAATTGACATGAATTTACATCCTAAGATACTAAGTAAGAAAAACGTAGAAAAACGTAGAAAAACGTAGAAAAACGGCATACACATATGGCGAAATCTCAGGATATTCGCAATGTTTGTATGCCACGATCTTTGCAGCTGCAAAATTTACAAGCCCACCACGACGGCACTTTACCCAACGTGCATATTTCGGATTGTTTTGGTACAAACATCAACTGATTCCACTGATTCTAGATGCGTTCAAGGTCGATGCACGCACATGTAGATAGCACAATGGCCAGTACAGGTGGTCTGCATATTGTTGAATGAAGACCTTGCAAATCAAAACCAAAAAAAAGAAACCAACAAAGAAACATGTAGAACCCCACAGGTCCAATGTTTCAGTCTGTTGTGCCATGGCTTCATTCTGGCCCTGTTGCCGCAACCCAAAGCGTTTGCAGTCAACATGGGTCCGAGGGGCAACCCCTTGCAGGATCGTACAACAGCAACGCCGCGTTTTTTGAGACACATCAAGCGTTGAATTAAAGTGCACGGCAACCACTCTCAGCTGAATTTAAGAGCTCTGATTTGGATCAACATTCACTCCCATTTTTATAAGAGTCCTCATTCCCATTTGAAGCAATTTTGCATCCACATGACATCTGGAACTCCCCGAGATGGGTTTGAACAAATCGATCCTAGCAACCATTCCAATCCCGACAACGTGGACGAGTCATGATAATTGAATATATGTAATCATGTATAAATTGTATATATTTAGATATACACTATCTAATATCATATGTATATATCTATACATTAATTTAATAATACATAATTTTAAATATACAATATTGATCAATATTAATGCATATAATAATATTATATATATATAGAGCCCCAACCTGACCTAAAGACCTTAAAGCTACATCTTGACGCTTGCCCAGCTTTCGACATATTCACTTCATCAATTTGAGCTCAGGTCCTCTGTGAGGTGGGTCCATTGTTTTGAGGCCATTGGGATGTGAAAAAATGATGGAAACATGAGCTTCCAGTAAGCATGGACGGGGGATTCCAAGTGTCACCATTCATCCCCAGAATGCAGAATGCCAACCTGAGACGGCATTGACTAGGTCCAGCAGCTGAGAGTGCAATAGGCCGACATCAAAAAGTTGCCATGGCCCAAACGCCTAGGCTAAGAAGCCCTGCTGCAGTGAGAGGCGTCGAGGACGTCGAACCCAGCACAGGTTTGACGTCTGGTTCCCACTCAGATGGTGGCTTACATTCACCTGGAAGCAAGAAGGAGTACAGGGGCAGCCCTGACTTGTTTTGGCATTTCTTAGCTGGGGGCTATAAACTGAAAAATGCCACCCAGACCATCACTATAAAATCCAAAGTGGGTAGCACCCTCATGGCATTGAGCCTCTGTAAAGTTGAAGTTGGGTACAGTACAAAAAAACTACCCAATCAGGGTTAAGCCAAAAAGCAAAAGACATGGGACGCTATAAAGTCGAAACCCTTGCGCAACATGACAGCATGAGAAACAACAAGGAAACCAAAAAACATTTTTTTAAACTTCAATCACCATGGTATGCAAAAAAACATTCTTAAATATATCAGCATTTTTGGCTACCAGGTTTGAACTTTTTAGAGGAACATGCCTCTATAAAATGTAGAGATTTCTGGGCCTTGAGCACCTGATAATTTAGAGCACGAAACTAGGGGTACTCAGAGAGGCATAATGAGATTTAGCCTCGTGCGGATCCTTGCGCAATTTCTCAAAAAAAGTGGTCACTGACACTATGGGGATGTTGACGGAGGCGAAACAAGAGAAGTTTGATCCCGCATGCTACAGAGAAAAGGTGTTTAAAGAGGGAGCTACATTCCGATCATTTGTCAGTAGCTGCTTCCCAAACAACAAATGAGTATAGGCAGTATAGGTGAGAGGAGCAAACCTTGAAGATGACCAAGACGGGTGGGGTGGGGGGTCCAATGTCAAATCTCTTGTCTTTGCATAGGCGGAAAAAATCATCACTGGAACTTGCCACAGCGAACACCTGGGTATGGCTTGGGAAGGCTTGGAACATGGGACTTCCGGTCACGTTTCCACTGGGACACCCGGCCCTTCTCTGTGAGAGTGGCGACGCAGACCAGAGTCTGCGTAGCAGAAGCTCCATGGTATCCCACCTGGTTTGGTCACGGGCCTGTGCCTGGGACCTATACAGGAAATGGATGTGGTCATTTGCCAACCAGCGGGGCAGGAGGTGAGCCTATCATATTCTTGCTTGGTGTTCGTAAAGGTCCACCAGCTCAGAACTAGATGGTGGAGTTCGCAAGACTACTGGAGATGGGGATCAAACACAAACACAAACACAGTTGCATATTATGTCTGTAAGAGAAACTAAGATAATACAGCATATACAAGAACTTGTACCAGGTACCACCTATTTTTCAGGGTCTTAGATCAAATGAGCAGTGCTCAGTTCACTCTTCATCATCCCCTTCTTCTACTAGGCTGATAGGGAATTTTCAGTTTGTGGATTTCATAATCTCCGCACCAATCAGTCGAATCCCCACCACGAATTCCATCATTTTCAGGGTGCATTCCCATTGCAGAATTCCATCCCCATGGTTGTTCGTTGATTTTCCAATGATTTTCCGTCATTTTTCAAATTCTAAGACTGCAATCGTCAGGGGTCCAACTGGCTCTCAATATCTCCCTGGTGGATCCCAAAGGCACCCCAGCCTGAAGAGCGGTCCTGGAACCTGCAGCTGTGCCGACCTCGTCAGCTCGATTCCATGGAGGATCACACATTTTTGAGGGCTTCGGATGAGCCTTTTCCCATCCTTTCCATTCCTTTCCATCCTTTTCCTGTGTACAACTTCCTCATCTGATCAGTGTTAGTCGGCTGATTTAATAGTGATAAGCCTATCAAGAGCATCGAGTCTTCCTCGTTGATGTTCTTTGGGGATCTCTGCTTGTGGCGTAGTAATTGGGACCCTGGCGAGACGTGATCATGACTATACTGTACTGTGGCTTCGATGAGGTAAACATGCATTGCTTTCAGTCCCACATTTGAAGATACCGGCCAAAGGTAGAGCCACAGTTCGTACCATTCACTGAGATGAAGCGCAACGATTGTTCCTACATGTTTCTGCAACCCGAATCTCGAAAGGCAAAACGAATTCGTTGACGAACAAGCATCGTGCTGCGAGGATACGTATGGATGTGGAAACATCTCGAAATCAGCAATAGTGGAAGGAATGGGCATCCCTCAAAGTGAACAATGATGGATTCTAGTCATGCTGGGGTCCTGCCCAGACATCGACCTTGACAGCTACTTCTTTAGAGTAAGATGTTGATTAACTAGGCAAGAGTGAATACATGTAGCTGTGGATCTATGTGAAGAATCCTTTGTTTTTTCCTTGCATCCAAGGGTTCAAACCTACCCAAGGGTCCAAACGCCAGAAACAGCTACGGGTTTGGATGCTACAGGTTTAGAAATGTCAATGTTTCTTGCTTACCTTGCATCCACAACTACGACCGACATTGGCCCGTAAGTTTGGACCCTTGGATGCAAGGAAAACATATTCTTGGATATAGTTTGATATAATTGATATAATCTACTATGTAGCTAGCGTTGGTGGGATCCAATCGGCAGCTATATAACAAACTCGATTGTGCCTGTTCCGAACTATTTGTAGTTGCCATACATCCCAGTGCTCCTAAACTACGCATGTATCTTAAGTCTATCTTGGCATGAGGATGAAAAAGTGGTCGACACCTCCATAAAGATCCTTTCAAACAGCATTTTTTTTAACCACCAACGTCTGTGGCTTCGGATACTTCGGATGCTCAAAAAAAGCCTTTGGTCATTGGTCCAGACACCGAAATCAGCACGTAGTACGTCTTGTCCTGCGCAGTGACAGGTCATGGCAGGTCCGAAAACCACTGGCTCGGGTGAAAGCATGAAACCACAGGCCCCCAGTGGCCCCCAGGGCACTTTTCTAGGATCATTCAAATATATTCAAATACCAACGCTGTGGGGTGACAGCTAGCCACAGATTTAGCACAAGAAAAAAAAATCAAATGACATTCAACCAGGGATTTAGATCCAGGAATGGCAGTATGAGCTTGAAATTGGCCAGCGAAACTGAACCACACATTTCAGGTGGCTGTCAACACACCTGAAGTGCATCAACACGTGTCGATTGGAAAGGATCAATCCGAATGAAACTTTGGATATCAAAAATCTCAACGGAAAACAGAACAGGTTTTTAGTTAATGAATCATCAGCCTGAGAGACAAGGGGATGGTATCCTACTGTTCTGGTGGCGTGAAATGTCCAATGAATCTGCATGTGAATACAACATAGTTGTCTAAAAAATTGAAACCCCAACATATCGAGGTGGTCTTACCATGTTTCATCACTTTCTTCCAATGGCCAACTTGGGACATCTCCCATTTTGAGACAAATCATGACAAACTGACAAACGGTGACAAAGATATGTATATGTATATATATATTATACAAACACATAGACGTAGGTAAATTGAGTGATGTGCAGGCTGAAGATGTCTGAAGCAACTTCTCCAGCTGAGGGTTGAATGCTCCAGCGATGTTGTGCTAAGGTCGCAGTTTGCCAGGCGGTAAACGTCAAAGGTTGCAACATCGGACCATGTATCTCTTGAATCGGCAAGGGAATGGATCTATCTATGATACGGGGTCTAGAAAGAAAAACATCTCAGCCGCGAACTGTCGGAGGCCCATTGATAAGACTGGGAAGTACTCGCGAACTCCTCATGTCATTTGGTGAATTTCCATTGTTTTTGACTTGGCTAAAAAAACCCAAATGGTGCTGCCGGATCTTCTTGCTGCTTCAATCCAAAATCTGTTCATTCTATTCAATTTTCTTCTGCTTAAACCACATTACACCAAACATGTTGGGTGCAAAACCATCATTTTTGCTTGTTAAATATCCTTTTCTGCTGGTTTCTATCCCACATAGTAATGGAATCACATTCTGAGGGACTACATTCCCACATAGCACTACAAGGAATGGAATCTCCATTTTTGCAATTTTTTGCTGCTTCAATCCCAGTTTTTTTCATGAAATATCCATTTTTGCGGTGACCCGCTCATGCGTACTAGTACGACTATACAGTAATTGACCTGTCATACTCACCGCAGGGTGCCCCGGTGTCCGCAGAAAGTTCCAGGTCAGTGGCGTCGCCGGTGTTCAATCTGCGATGAGCATCAGCCTCGGCTCACAATTTCCAATGGGGACATGGGTGGTAAAACTTCTGAGGGACGAACGATAAATCTTGATGGGATGAATGTCAACATTGGAGGCCCCCAATTTTGGATGCCGATTTGGGGGGCCAAAATTTGGGTACCCCTTTTCCCCATAGGTCTTTCCATTACATGTGTATATATAATCATGATCATATCAAAAACAATAATAATAATAAAGTAATAATAACAATAATAATTGATAATAAAAACAATAATTAATAATAAAAATAATAATTATATAATAAAATAATAATAATAACAATAATAATTAATAGTAATTATTATTAATAATAATTATTAAAAATAATAATTAATAATAATAAACAAATAATAACAATAAATATAATAATAACAATAAAAATAGTAATAACACTATATAATAATAATAATAACAACAATAATAGCAATAACAATATATAATAGTAACAACAATAATAGCAACAACAATAATATTATTAAAAATAATAAATAATAATAATAAATTATTATTATTATTATAAATAAAAAAATAAAAATAATAATTATAATAATAAATAATAATAATAATAACAATAATAATAATAAATATATATATATATATACACATACATACAATGATCAATCACTTGGATCATTTTGGGGTCCCAGTTGTGGGAAACCCAGGTGAAACAATTAGAATACTGCGTTACTCTTGACCAGTGGCCTCTGAAGACACATAAAATAATATAAAATATACCATCAATGGGACTGACGTTGGGATGGCAACAACCCACTGAGACATATTGAAACCACCCATTCTGAAACATGCTGGAACGAAGCCCAGAAACCTTCATTCTGGAGTTCTCGAATGTCAGGGAATAGTCAGTGAGGTCCTTCCGGTGCACACAAAGAGTAATTGTGTGGACAAGGACCTGCTTTTTCTTTCGACTATCTATAATCCTTTCTGACTTTGAAGTGGTGCGAGCAGGACTTACATCTCTACGGTGATATATTATATATATACATATCTTTATAATCATATACACCATATATGTATCCATATGTGTTTCTTGAATGATGCACGGATTATCATCAAGCCTTCTTGGGAGTTGGGAGGTTTGTACTTCGGCATGAAACCCAGTCTTCAGTCATGACCATGGCAAAATGGCACCTGGCCTTGTATTCAAAACACTAGGTGCAGGGAGCAAAGCCGCAGGTCTACAGTCTCGGAACATACTTGTACTGGTAACATGTTGTAACATGTTGTAACGTGTTGTAACGTGTTGTAACATGTTGCAAGGGCAATTTCTGGGTTCCATAGTAAACCACAGATAACCACAGTACACGATGCAACCGGTTCGCGGTCCATACCTGAACGCATGTTGAAAAACCACTGCTGAAACCTTTGTTGTTGGAGCTTTTTTTTTGATGTGTAGGTAGACCAGTAGACCATGCAATGATCAGGAGTTGGAAGCTTCATGATCCAAAACTCTTGATTGAAAAGAGAGATGACAAAATCTTCCGCTACTGCAACTACCTACCCCAAATATCCCAAATTATCCCAAAACAAGCCAAAACCAACTAAAAGTGAAAATGCAATCCAATGAGTGCATTGACCCTCAAGCACATGCAGTCTGAAGCGCTCCTGCACGTCATCGATTGTGATGGCCCCTGGGAGACCGTTGCATTGCGACAAACTCACCGGAACGCCTCCGGTGTTCTTTTTGGTCAGTCCCATGGCACAGAACATCTGGCCCTTGCAATCATATGTGGTGGTGCCACAGCCACATGTTGTGCCACAGCCACAACCGCAGCCGCATGCGCCGCACGTTGTTGTGCCGCAGCCGCAGCCGCATGCGCCACACGTTGTTGTGCCACAGCCGCAGCCGCATGCGCCACACGTTGTTGTGCCACAGCCACAGCCGCATGCGCCGCACGTTGTTGTGCCGCAGCCGCAGCCGCATGCGCCACACGTTGTTGTGCCACAGCCACAGCCGCATGCGCCACACGTTGTTGTGCCGCAGCCGCAGCCGCATGCGCCGCACGTTGTTGTGCCACAGCCGCAGCCGCATGCGCCGCACGTTGTTGTGCCACAGCCGCAGCCGCATGCGCCGCACGTTGTTGTGCCGCAGCCGCAGCCGCATGCGCCGCACATTGTTGTGCCGCAGCCGCAGCCGCATGCGCCGCACGTTGTTGTGCCGCAGCCGCAGCCGCATGTGCCGCAACCGCAGCCGCATGCGCCGCATGTGGTTGTCCCGCAGCCACAGCCGCAGCCACAGGCTGCCGAGCCGCAGGCTCCACCGCAACCGCAGGCACCGCTGCCAGTCGGACAGGTCCCATACTGTCCGTGGTCGTGCAGCCTTCGTACAAAACTTTTTTTGTAGGTCTTCCCCTTCATGCCGAAGGGCTTTCCGCTGCTGACGCTCTTGAACCTGGGATTTGCCGCAATGCTCACACTGATATATTTCAATTCAGAAAAAAGACTTGGTCCCATGGGCTATCCTTGACAAAATCTGGACAACCATTAGCCCGGCAGCAAAGATATGTAGCAGAAGATAGCGGCAGCAGTGCACACTCAGTACGCATGTGCAAGCATGATTGACTGAAGTTTGCCCTGCATGGCTTTACTCTATTGCAACATTCTGTAGGCCGGGCTTAAAACCAAATGAGTTGGATGCAGTGGATAAGACAACGATCTGCAAACAAAATCAAACAAATTGGTGCAGCTTTAAGGAGAACATATGAAAGGTATGATTCAAGGTCGGACAAGTTATTCTGAACAAAACCCAGGAAAAAAACAACGACTGGGCAAGAAGTGGCCGAGCGAAAATTGCAAACATGCAACAAATAATAGAACAAAAAGAAAGAAACAGACTAAAACATGGGACTCCTAATATGTAGAAAACATGAGAACACAACTACTAAATTTCCTTTTGCGTCTTGTTGCACGTTTTTGCTATTATCGTTTTATTTTGGTGGGGTCAGATCTATTTCTTCAAAGTGATTTCGTCGCATTACATTTTTTTTGTTCCGACTGGGTCCCTTTGTCAGTTTTATAGCTTTCTGCCCTTTCTCGTTCGCCTTTTGGAAAAATATGATTTCTGCAATTTTACAGGACCAGGTTTCATTTGGTCAACACAACTTCTAAGCCATGACCAAAATGCCAATGCTTTTCCCATTCTTGCTCAAATCCCAACTGGAGCACATGCAAGGAGCATTTCGTGTTCTGGGCAGCCCTTTCCGGTGAGGATCATGCCACCCTCGACGACAGTGGTCTCCACCACGTGGGCATCTGACTTCTGACAGATTTTGCCTCACAAAAAGGCAGAAAGGGAACAGTATTTCACAGTGACGAGGATCACTTGGCTGATTTTCCAAGGTAAATGTCCCTATGCAACAACAAGATCCATCAAAGGGCAACTATATAAGACTATTATACAACCAATGCCAATAAGGAGAATTTGGCTTGACTTTCCAGGGACGATCTATACATAGGAGACTATTGTTGTACAATCCAAACAATAGTGATTCCCTCCAATTTTTCCCTTAGAAATCTGAAGGCAGTGGAAGATTCTGGCCACTCAAATTCGGAACCGCGGCTCAAATGCGTATCAGAATATCATTGGGGTAACCAACAAATTCAGGGACACCAAGCCAAATTCAGGGGGAGCACCATGCTGGGCGGGAATGAAGATAGTTTTTTGCATCTAGAACCCTGAACCAGCAATCAGCTATGGCTATGGTGCTCAAATTGCAATAGAATCGAGATCCAACGATTGTTGAAACTTTTGATTTGCCTTTGAGACCATCAACCTTTACAATTCTTCACAACGAATTAACCTAGTTTTCGCCATGATGGCACTGCTGTTTAAAATCCTTCAGCTGGAATAGGTACGGCATTTGACCTTTCTTGTTGCTGGCATTCACGCTCTAAGGAAATGCGGTATTTCCCTTACAGGTCTGTTGGAGGGATGCCCCATTCAAAAGTCGCAAAACAGGTGCCCTTTCGACATCTTGCCACTTTCTTATACTTTCTTGGTAGGCCTCAACTCCTCCAAACTGGGCTATTCTGGTCACATGAAACAACTGTGCTCCCAGCCAGATTCGGGGTGGCTTCTACCGTAACCATAGGCACTCTGTACCCAGTCCTCTTAACCATCAGCCACTAGGTATAGTTCAAAACTCCAGGTATCAAAAAGATGTCCAGTTCTGCTCAGACGGGCCAGAATCCATTTTTCAGGGTAAGAATTTCGGGAGACCCTCCCCGCGCATCCTCCCAACATCTCCCAACCCTGATGTTTTCCGCCTTTCTTGGAGGTGCGGAAGCTGGAAACGTTGCCCAAATGAGCGCCGCGCAGGCAGGGGGGCATATAGGGTGCTTCAGGCAGCAGGTAGTATCCTGGAGGCTACATGTGGCAGCCACATCTGGTATGGAAAACACCCCAATTTCAGGAAGAAAAAGACGATTTCATCAATCGCGGGAATTGATAGGCCCCAGCCAAAATGAAAGATGGTCATAGATGCGTTTATTCTGCGTACTGTAATGTACTGTAGAAGAAATCAAGGCGCACTGTTCTGAGATCACCTATTCCGGTTGGTGAATCATCGGCCCACTAAACAACTACTGCAGTTTGTTGGGATTACCAAATATGCAAAAGAGAGCTATTAAGCATGTCAAGGTCCTTTGAGGGAAAAAACGGTGCCAAACTGGCGCACCATTCGCCATCATTTGACTATTCGATTTCCTATAGGCGTTGCGTTTCTAGCAACCAACAAGTGTTTTCAAAGGACATCTATGAAACATGCTCAAAAAATCTGCAACTGAGATGTGTTTTTTCCGCCAAGGATCGATACTCACCCGAAGTGACATCCATGGCTCCATGGCACTCGTCCAACATGCTCTTCTTGGTTCTGAGGCCATCCTTGAATGGGCCCATGATGGGAGCGCCATCCAAAGCCCAACCGATCTGGACCTGTCGTGGATTCGTGGAATCCAAACTATTCCATGATATGGGGTCAAGGTGTTTTCAAAAGGGAGCGTACTCTTACATTTTTTTGCAAGAGGATTTCCAATGATTGTTAATTCAATATGGGTGTCTTCTTGAACCTTAGGCGAGTTCCATACCCAGTTCGGACCAGGGATTTTGTTGAGCTTGGCCCCCTTGGACAATAATGACGATTGCTTACTTACCAGGGTATGCAGCATTCAGCAAATGATCCTCTTTGTTTTTTCAATCACAATTTGAGGACGTGTTTCCATATGGGTCCGTTCCTTGATGATGGTTTCAAGTGCACTGAACATTAGATATGCAGCAGTCGTCGCAACCCACACCTTGCAAGACATCATAGGCGTTGACATCCAGCTCTATTCATTGTATATCAAGATGTCCACAATGTTTCCTTTGGGCTTACATCCCTATTCGTGATTGTCGCTTACATCCCTATTCGTGATTGTCGCCTTCACATCTGGCCTTGCCGTGTATATATACATATATCTATACAGATCTCTCTCTCTCTATATTTATATACATATATATCCATATACATCAAGCTTTGCTTGCTGGTTGAGCCTCATTTTGTTCCGGTGAGATGCCCTTTCTTGCTGCTTCTCTGCGGATTTAGACATCCAAAAATTCTGGTACTTTAGACTTTGGTACCATAATCTCAAATCCGCAGTTACCACGTTACATATTCCAGTTTTTTCATGGCTTCACACATTCCAATCTTTTCATGGCTTCAACGCCCCCATCCAGAAAAAAAAACATCCATCTCCCATATCTTTTGCCAAGATTTATGTCCAATTTAATGTCCAATTTCCCCTGGTTTAACCCACCTCGGGTCCCGTGGAGGGCCAAGCTTTTGGACCAATGGTCTTCCACCAGGCACTGATGCTGGGCACTGGAAGACCCAAGGATCTGAGGATGGACACCCGGGACAGCCAAAATGGAAATCTTTTTTTTTGGGAAGAACATCGGATTTCTCTGGTATATGTATATATATATATATGATCCCGCCTTCCGACCGCGAGGTCCCCCCCCCAATGGGATGGGTCCCCAGGTAGCACCCCCCCTTCCCTTCTCTTTGCAAGCTATTGGCAGCATTTCTGAGATCCAGCCTCGTATTTGCTAGGTTTTTGCAGCGATTCTGACTACCAGCCTCGCATTTACTAGGTACATGCTACCTTTTAGACGGCGACCTACGTAGCACATATACCCCCTCAAAGTACCTACGTGCTACCTATAGTCATATGTACGTGTGCTGTGTATCTACTTCCTATATATATATATGCTATAGATATGTATATATATATATACATATATTCGTATCTAAATACACACATATATATATATATACATACATACACATATATATACATATATATATACACACATATATATATACATATATATATATGTAAATATATTATATATATACATACATGTTCACATGTATATCTATATATGTATATATATATGTATATATATGTATATATATATGTATATCTATATATGTATATATATAGATATATGTATATATATATGTATATATATATATATGTATATCTATATATGTATATATATATGTATATATATATATGTATATATATATATGTATATATATATGTATATATATATGTATATCTATATATGTATATATATTTATATGTATATATGTATATCTATATATGTATATATATGTGTATGTATGTATATATACACATACATGTTTACACACACACACATATATATATATACATACGCAGTACCACACCCCCACCACACCACAGGGGGGGAACATAGCTCCTGCATATCCATACCCATTCCTACTACTAACTACTACTCACTTCTACATACTACTAACTACTACTAATCCCCCCCACCCCCTATCCACCCACAGGGGGCGGGAACATAGCTCCTGTATATCCATACCCATTCCTACTACTAACTACTATTCACTACGACTAACTACTACTACTACCCCCCCACCCACCCACCAGGGGGGGGCGGGGAACATAGCTCCTGTATACCCATACACATTGGGGGGGAGGGGGAGGGGACTTGGGAGGGCTGCATCATATGTGTATATATATATAATGTGAATAGACTTAGATTATGAAGATGTCATGGGAGATAGTTGATGATAGATTTAATTTTTGCCAAGATTTGGATGCACGGATGGGACATAAAACCAGATAGAATCAGCAATATGATATGGGTTTGTGCAAGAATGGGGACTGTACTGTTCAAAAAGCAGGGGCGGATAACCAACAACATATGGATATACATGTAAGGTATCTGTGTATATATATATACATGTCTATCTATCTATCTATCTATCTATCGATCGATCGATCCATCCATCCATCCATCTATCTATCCAAATAATTACATGGTTAGCGGCCTTCTGGAAGGCCTACTTTTAAGCCGCTGGATAGTACCCTGACGTTTGAATATAATATAGCGTGAATGAAAACCATGTCATCAAAAAAACACGGAACATTTGCAGTAATTTGATTCCAAAACAACATATGATATGTTACTATATGTTTAGCCAGTATTCGGGTTTGTGCAAAAACATGATCAAACATGAGGTATGGCAAATTTAGTGGGATAATGATGATTCGACCACGAGATTTGGGTACCCTGTTTTCGGAGAAAGCATAGGTTTTGGTTTGATATTGCTTCAATTCAATTTCAATCGGTCAACACCACTATCGCCATTCATGGCTCGTCTTAGATGAGCTAATCGCAAAAACCTAGATATCTTTAGCATTCTTTGGCTGGGTATGAACATCCATGAATAGCACTAGGGATGACCAGGATTTTTTTTTATGTTTTGTTAATCCAGAGGTTATATGACCATCATGACCCATGTCCATGGGTAATCTTGCATACACTGCAAATTTTAGGCAACACACACAGAGACAAACAATGTTTAACTGGGTAGAATTAATCCCCTTGAAAAAAGGCAAACCATTGAACAAGACTAAATCAATAAACCATGCAACCAGGCTTTACTCAGAAATCTGGAAACATATCGGGAGACAGTGGTGGCTGGGTGATTGAGCCAGATCCTGGGACACAGTTTGGGATGGGATTCGAAGCAAGACACCATGGGAAGAACTGTTTAGTGGTTTCCACATCTGATAATCTTGAGTCAAGTAGGGAGCATCACACAGTTTTCGGGATGGAACTTCAACACATTTGAAATCAACAGCCAACAGTAGGAGAACTCATTCGCATAACACGACAATATCTCACAAATTTACGACATCTGGGGGATCTCAAACGCTTAACTGCGGTGTGATGGTGCAAAATCCAAGCCACCATATACCCCCCCAAACAAGTACTGCTGAAAGATGACGCGCGAACAAGTCACTTCATCAGACACAATGGCGGAGCATGGTAGTGGTAGTGCCCGTAGGAGTCACCATGACCACCGCAGTCGTCGAACAGCCAAGTCATTCCCTCCTGGTGCTGACGTAGAATTTCCTGCCCTTGCCTGCTGATAGCAATATCACTAGCAGAAAAGTGAGTTGTGTATCAAACCTTTTGAAAACAATTTCCGCTCATTGTCCCAACAACGACCGTGTCCTCCATCATCGAAAAACCTTTTGGCAATACATTGGGCTCCACAAAAAACATCGTAAAACTTCCCTCCACCCCAGGTCTGGTTCCAAGTTGCTCAAGTTCAATTCCCCGCAACAACCTTCCTGATAAAGTATCAAGAAAAGTCTGCTGGGATTCTCTGTCCATGTCTTTTGCGTAACCTATTAATTGGCAAAAACGGAAGTCATGGTCATCTGGCTAGTGGTTAAAACCCCTCCACTTGTAGCTGCTGGGATGGAGGTTAGAAACTATTCCCATAGACCGAGTCGTGGTCACCAACCCTTGGGATCACTGAGAGCGACTTGGTCCTTAGGATGTTCGTGAACGAAGAGCACGGAGTTCATAGCGATGCCGACCACACCACCCACTTTCCTTGAGAGCCGCAGCTGCAAGGAATGCTACGGAGGCTGGAAGCTGCGAAACAGGGGGGTTGACTCTCATCTCGTATCACATCTATTCGTGAAACATTGGAGACTGGGTGACATCAAATATCCCAACTTGAACCTTTCGAAATCAGTGCTTCTCCGAATTTTTCGGAGCCAGTTGGTTGATGGTCAGTCACAGTTGGGTCCCATACCATGCAATTATCTATATACATTAGTCTTTTTCTTGCACATCCCACTGACTGTTTTTAAAAACCAAATCTTTGGTGGTAACCACCAAACTCTTAGTGATTAGTGGTGCATCCAGGCAAAACACTTTTTTGATATTTGCTTGAGTACATCACCAAAAAGGCGACCTTTCTTGCTTCGCATCCCCATGTTCACTGGCCATCAGCCACATTGGGTCACCGAGTTTCTCCAATTTCTGGGGCTTGCTGGGCAGGGAGGGATTGGGCAAGTGCACTTTGAGGTCGCGCACACGTGGCACGAAGGGACTCCTTGGTGTCGTACGCGTGGTGTTTACAGGAAATTGATCATCAAACAACAAAGCTGCAAAAACACAACAAAGAAATACAATTCTGTGGAATTTCAGCTCTCACTATCAATGAATGGAATACTATCTATCATGATCTATCCATCCATCCATCCATCTATCCATCCATCCATCCATCAATGTACATATACATGTGCATATATATATATATTAATATAGGTAGGTATGTAGGTATGTATGTATATAGGTATGTATGTATATAGGTATGTATGTATATAGGTATGTATGTATATAGGTATGTATTTATATATATATATATAGGTATGGATGTAGGCATGTAGGTATGTATATATATATATAGGTATGGATGTAGGCATGTAGGCATTCAGGTATGTAGGTATGTAGGTATGTAGGTATGTAGGTATGTAGGTATGTAGGTGGGTAGGTAGGTAGGTAGGTAGGTAGGTTATGTATGTATGTATGTATGTAAGTATGTATATATATGTATGTGTGTGTGTATGTGTGTATGTGTGTATGTGTGTGTATGTATGTATCTGTGTGTGTATGTATGTATGTATGTATGTATATATATATATGTATGTATGTATGTGTGTGTATATGTGTGTATGCCTGTATGTGTGGTGTATGCGTGTATGTGTGTATGTGTGTGTATGTATGTATGTATGCATGCATGCATGATTGTATGTATGTATGTATGTATGTATGTATGTATGTATGTATGTATGTATGTATGTATGTATGTATGTATGTATGTATAATATGTATGTATGTATAATATGTATGTATGTATAATATGTGTATATATATAATATTATATACTAATAACAACAGTAAGACTATACTAGCACCAATAACATTAAGACTAAGAATAATAAATAACAATAGTTAGTAGTGATAATAGTAATCAATAATAATAGTAACACTGATCATAACACAGAAGCCCCAACCGCCCACCAAGAGCTTTTGGTTGGCGTAGCAGGCAAGCAAGCGACTTCAGGAAAGTCTCAGTCAGACCGAGTGGAACAACACATATCTATAGAGATATACACATGTTTTGGGAATGAATTGGGATTTAATAGGCAAACACATTAAATTGCCAAGAGTACCAGGTATGACATGGGAATGCTTCCTGAACTCAGCTGGTGAGCAACTGGGGTGTAAGGCCAACTGAGGGAAATAACAGGCTGCATTGAGTGATCATAACCATCCGACCCTTCAACCGAGTTGCTGCGTCTCTCCCTCCAGCCGCCGACTGCCGCAAGCGCAGCAGCAGCCACAGCCGCAGCCGCATTCGGTGGTGTTGCAACCACCACCACCACCACCGCCGCCACCACCACCACCACCACCACCACCAGCAGTGGGGCAATCATGGAGGTCGGTATTATGGTGGTACCCGAATGTAAAGACATCCTTAGCCCGCGGCCACCGGCTTGAACTGCCCTTTGCTGACTCCATCGACTGGAATTGAAACGGACGTGCCAAAGGTTGGGAAGACTTGTCACATGTGACTTGTCTTGAAGTATTGTGCTTCCCCATGGCACAGAAACTCGTGACCTGCCAATTGATGTGGCATAGACCATGCCAAGCACCCAAAACAATTTCGCCCTGCCTTTTTGGGAGCAGTATATAATCTCGCGTCAAGGCCAGAAACATCAGCTGGTATACAGGGAGATAAATAGCGTGAGTTACGGGTCTAAGGACGGGGAAGAGCAAAACGGGTGCCTCCGTACGGACCAATGATCCTGGTAGAATTACTGCATTTGAATTCCTGAACTGGAATTGTTTTGGCATTTTTGTGTGTTTTTTTTTGAAGGATGATCCCCCCAACCTTAACCACCATGGTGGGGTCGTTCCTGATCACCAAGATTCTGAGCCGTCCATTTTGGGCGCGTCTTCGTTGAAACCGAAGCCGCACCATGTTTCCTCCTGAGATTGCACCAGAATCTTGGGCAGTCGTGGTGGTAAATGGCTTTGTCCAGAAATGGGCGAATTTGCTGAACTGTTTTTAAATTGGATCCTGGGTTTTGCACGGATTTACCACCATTTACGGCTACTGAACTTGTTTAAAACTGTAGAATTTGATAAATCACTGGATCCCCAACTGTGCTGGACTTTGTTGACAGCTCTGCTGCACAGGTCGAGCGAGCATCAAACAAGGGTAACCATACATCACCAAGCAATACTGGTGGAAGCGATCTCGCTTCGAGGGGAAAGGCTAACTTCCGTTTGCATCCATGAAATCCTAGTTGTAGTTGAGCTTTTCCCATTACGATCTCACATTAGCCTTGGGACATCAAAATCATCAAACAGCGCGGTGTGGAGCTGATCCCCACGGACACATGCCAAGATCTACCGAGTGTCTGGGCAGTCTGCCGTGACATGAAGGTCGCCCTCATCCTCGTGCAACTCAATCGTCCAGGTGGTATCCAAATGAGTGAAGGTCAATGGCGCTGCAGTGGTCACGGCCACCATCCCCACCATCCACAGTAACCGAGACATCGCTATACTTCTCATCGGGGCGGGAGGCAGTGAACCTTGTCTGCGGCGCTGTCAAGCCCCAACACTGCGGCGCGATGTGATTGGATACCGGCGGTCGAGTGCCATGCAACTTGCTAGCTGCTATGGCCTTGAAAAGAAGGGTGGTAGGAATCACACCACGTGCTTGATGAGTATTAGCTTGTAAAATTGCAAGCACCCCTTTCCACCGTTTTTTGCTGTTTGATAACCTACTTGGACGCTGTGATGCATTGTTGCTTGCCAACTATCAACAAAGCACGAGTTTAATGATGCCCCCTATCATCTGCCAAAGTCACCAAGGAAAGTAAACAAGTCATCAATCTGAAACATATGATTGGCTATTCTGGGGCGGGCTCTCACAGGGAACACAGCTCATGTTGTCTGAATATGTATATATATATATAGATAGACACATGTGTGTAGAACTTTCATTTCATGCTACATGTCCACGATGCAATATATATATATATTTATGAAAACACATGTATATATATATATGTATGTATAAATATTATACATATATGCATGAATAGACATCTTTGGCAACTAATTCCAACTCCAAGCTTGAGCTCCCCAAAATCCACATCCCAACATCCCACCACCGCCGTTTCCCGGGTGCACCTCCGCTCAGTTCACTGATGAGACCTGAGGCGGAAATGGCCAGACTTATGCCCTTGGGGGATGGGTCAATAGCAAAGAGACCAAATAAACCCAATAAAATCAAGAGTGGGTTGGCATTGTTGACACCGCAAAACCGTGTTGATTTTTGGAATAAAAAGAACAGGATATCTGGGGTTCGACTCATTTCGAGACGTCTAACTTATTTAGTAGGGTCCCAATTATTTCGTTTCTGGCGACATTGTCTGACTGCTTCTCCGCACGCGCGGTGAACTATGATACGCCAAAAACATCCAAAAACCTTTGAAAGGAATTTTGCCCATCGACGTCCACGGACTCATCTAGGAAGAGAGTACCAAAGCAGCACCCTGCAAGGATCAGGAAAAAATGATATACAAGGGCAGTTCAAATGAAGGACACAACACTAAACCACCCGCTTGATTTTGCCCAAATTAGTTCCCCATTGACAGGAAAAACATATGAAAAATGGCCCTTCAAAGAAACCAGTGAACTTCACAACACTGCAGCTTGCAGCTGCATCATGCTGCAGCCACATGTTTCCGTTTCCTCTGATTGAATTTGTTCTTAGTCCATTTAGTTTTAGATGGTTTTACTGAGTCGGATCCGATTTGGATGCCGCATCTCTGCATCATTCATCAGGAATATCAGTGTCTTGGCGACCGTAAATGGTGGAACTATGTGGAACTTATCTTCATATTCAGCGTCCTCTAATTGTCATCTCCCAAGACAACCTGATGCTGGAACAACTTCCAGTTGAAGAGAAGCACCTACTTAACTTTGACTTGAGTGCGCAACAACAAAAAAAAGAACCCTGATTCCACATTGATGCCCCAGAAAGACGCCCTGGATCGGATTCCAACCAACCAGCCATGCGAAGTGAATCCGATTCAAGGACCTTCCAAATCAAATTACCAGTAGTGCCCGGCACGCGCCGGGGCGGAAGTTCGAAAAAGGGAAGTAACAATAGGAAGAAAAAAACCTATAAGAATTTGTTATGAGTTGGAAGAATTTTGAGATGTGGTTCTCAACGAAAGACAGCCTGAATGAATGAATGAAGGAATGAAGGAAGGAAGGAAGGAATGCATGAATGCATGAATGCATGAATGCATGAATGCATGAATGCATGAATGATTGAATGATTGAATAAATGAATGAATGAATGAATGAATGATTGAATGAATGAATGAATGAGTGAATGAATGAGCGAGTGAGTGAGTGAATGATTGAGTGAATGAATGAATGAGTGAGTGAGTGAGTGAGTGAATGATTGAGTGAATGAATGAATGAATGAATGAATGAATGATTGAATGAACGAACGAATGAATAAATGAATGAATGCATGAATGCATGAATGCATGAATGATTGAATGATTGAATAAATGAATGAATGAATGAATGAATGAGTGACTGCATGAATGAATGAATGGATCAATAAATGAATGAATGAATGAATGCATGATTGAATGAATGAATGAATGAATGAATAAACGAATGAGTGGGTGAATCAGTGAACGAACGAAGGAACGAATAGATGGATGGATGGATGGATGGTTGGATGAATGAATGAATGCATGAGTGGGTGAATGAATGAAAGAATGATTTAGGGAATGAAGGAATGAGTGAGTGAGTGAGTGGGTGGATGGATGGACGGACGGATGGACGAATGAACCACTGAATCAATGAAACAAAGGTTCAAAAAATCAGTGAGCCAATAAATCAATGAATCAGCGAATCAACGACTCAATGAGTCAACGCATCAATGGTTCAACGATTCAGTGAGGCAATGAACCAATGAACCAATGAATCACTGAACCAATGAACCAATGAACGAATAAATTTAGCCAACTTCATCTTCCAAAAGTGCTCCAATGCCTTCAGTTTCTTTGATCTTTATGTGAAACCGAGCTCTTGCTACAGTCTCGTGCACCTTTTGCCAGCTTCATCGCCCAACAGTGCCCCGATCCCCTCAGATTTTTGTAACTTTTATGTGAGGTCGATCTCTCGCTACAGTCTCGTGCGCATTTTGTTGACCTATCTTCCAAAGTGCTCGAAGCATGCCAGTTTTTTTTAAACATTTTGAAGTGCAAATCGAGCTCTCGCTACAGTCTGGTGCACATTTTGCCGACCTCATCTTCCAAAAGTGCTCCGTGCATTTCACTGCAAATCGAGCGCTCGCAACAGTCGCGTACGCTTTTTCATGATGATGTGGTTGACATGATGATGGAAATGCTGACCATGACAATCGTGCGCAACTCGGAAGTTTTCTAACTAAACTTCCTTTGATAATACGATTTGCGTATGATATATGCTTATACGCACATCTACCTATCGACCTATCGACCTATCTACCTATCTATCTATCTATCTACCTGTCTACCTACCAATCTTTCTATCTACCTGTCTATCTGCCTGTCTATCTATCTACTGTACCTACATACAAATCTATTTATCTATCTATCTATCCATCTATCCATCCATCCATCTATCTGCAAATGCAAAGACACACAAACAAACATACCCAAAATATGCGAAGAGACAGACCTACGGATAGAAATGTGCAAACATGCAAAACATGTCCCCGCGTAAACGAGCACAAGTGTACATGCATATCTAAACACTTGAAATACACTTTGCCCACAAATCCAAACTTTATTTACACAACAATATATATATATAATATATATATATATATATATAATGTATGCCCTCTCTCACATGCACGTACCTGGCCACAAAAATACGCGCGCTCACACACACGCACACAAAAACAGATGTGTATATCAAAACTCTGGATTATACTAAATGCATATTCATAGCCTTTGTACACGGAGCTGACATATGCAAATTGGGTACCATAGTAACCCCAGATCCAGTTGTCTATCACCTTCCCTGTGTAAAACGGCTAGATGTTGGGGTTCACCTCCATGTCTAGACAAATGCGAATATCACATTGGTTCTTTATCAAATCATTTCTACATATCTTGTTGGCTACTATTATATATATATAATATATATATATTGAGGTATATGTATATTTGCTGTTTGAAGGCAAACAACGTTCTCTGGGTTTCGAAAAAGACCCTCATGGTACGAATCACAACGCAATTCTCGTGGCGTGAGCCAAGCAGCGATCACAATGATCGAAGGCACGGTCGAAGTCATCGGCGGCCATCGCCTGACGGGCTGGGTAGCAAGCCCTAAATAGTGGTAAATCACTCTTGTTCCATCGTCTTGGGGCATACTATACAAGTACGCAATATGATGTAATATCATGTAATACCATGTAATATTATGTAACATTATGAAATATTATGTAATATGTATGTGAATACACATGGCCTTGTCAAAAACAACATCTCATCTGGTTCGTGCCGGGGCTTGACTAGATTTTGTAATCGCTCGATGATGCGACACCAGTCCAGCAAAAGCTGTCTATAAATCATTGTCTCTTTCCGACACCTCATTTGTAGCTGGTAAAAACATATCTGATGTATCTGGTTGTTTCAAGGAAATACCCAAAACATTACATCAGATTAATTCATATCAAACTATCATATACTGGACACATACAGCAAAAACATGGGATTTTCATGGATTTTCATCGCAGGAACCACCCACCAGGCAGGACATCCAAACAGTGGGGTGAGGAGCCGCTTACCCGTTTCCTTTGGATCTTCCAATTTTGAAATCTACCCAGAAGTCATCCGCACCTACCCAAAAAGCGCTAGCAGAACAGGATAACATGTTCAGACTTGGACTTGCTGCACAACTTTGCTACCTGCAACATTGATATTTTGACAGTCCTCTCGCGCATTTTCCAAGGACAGGTTCACCACAAAAAAGTATGCTCTTTTGAAATTTTGACGGTGTAGTTCCCGAAATAAGTTGGCTACATGAACACTGTTTGTACTTTGCAGTTGTACCTGCATTTCATTTGGATATGATGGGTTTTGACCACTAGATCACCATTCTGCAGGTTACGCTTCACATTTTTGTTGATCTCCAGCACTCTCAGTGATCAGACATACCCGTGATACCAGTTTTTTTAATCACCTATTGAACACCTATTATATATACAATTAAACACCTTTGTGGGTAGTCAACCAGCAAACACCACTCTGAAGATCTGCAACTTGGGAACAATTGCAGGACGGTCCTTGCCGCGGAAAATGGGGACAGTGGGGCGAGGTTGGATCAGGCGGGGTGTCTTGAAAATGTCGGAGCATATCATACTTTCACCATCTGAACGTAATATTTACAATTTACAAGTATCTGGTAATACAACCACAACTGGTTGAAAGCGATACTATCTGATTGATACATCTGCATCAGTACATATTACTTTGTACCACACACACACATTCCCCGATTGAAGACCCCCTTATAAACCATGGTTTAATACTGAATCTGTTCATTGTGGGGGGATGGGATACCAGGCGTACAACAGCAGCTTCAACCCCAGCTTGAAGCTGCCACCTTTCCGGAAGGTTCCCTGACGTTTGGATCCTATACATGTCTGGGCTTATGGTCCCAGATCGTAACTAGCCAGTGGGCTATGTGGCGCAACAATTGACTAATGACCCAAACAGTTGGTACAGTTATCCACCGCAAAATAGAAGCTACCAATTTGGAGCCCACCAATCTGGAACCCAAATGACCCCTATATTGGGACGTATTGGGCCGGTTAGCGCCGTATTTGCTGGATCGAAACCTCCAAAATATGGGGTTGTCCGAAAATATGGTACCTCAAAATCAATGCACAGCAATGTTTTTCGCTATAAAATATATTTCTTTCGGGGCGTGCTCCATTTTCAGACACACCCACTTGCGTTCCAGGAAATTCTTTGAGCAAAATTTTGGTAGCAGCAGCACTTCGCCAAGCATCGAATTGCAAGTGATTGCCGAGTTCGTGACCCTCTGTTACTGCGCGCTTCAATAACTCGCGGTATCTCCTGAGTGGTGATGGCCAGCAGTGCACATCACTGCTGCCCCCACAAAATGCACATATCCAAAATATCTATGCAGGACCGTCATTGTTGCCACCTGGAACAATGGCTCTGGTTGGGGGGTCTCATTCACCTGCATCCAGGTGCAAGTCTCTTCCGAAGTTCCGGGCTGGCACCACCATGCTCAACCGCCACATCAAAGCCAGACATGATCATCAAAGTGGCGTGCACCTCGCGAACAAGTTCTTGCAAAGCTCCACGGGTTCTCAGTAAACAAAATACATATCACGCCCTTCAATAGGACTTTCCTTTTATAATCCTTTTATAATCTTTTATATACATGCTTTGTCTTTTTCTAGACAATAATATGACCTAAACCATAGCTGGATTTCTTTTGCTTTGGAACTCGAGAAAAAACAACTCGCGGCCGTTTTGAAGCGTGTTTGAGCTCTCTTGAACCGTGTAAGCAGTCAAAAAACCATACTCATGAGGTTGATCAGATCCCATCAAGGCACATGAATTGAAATGTCTTGGCTCTTGTTTGACTATCTGAACTTCAGCAAACAAACATCTTTTGCTAATTGCCTGCCTGATTCCAAACGTTACAGCTTGATACAAAATGAACTTCAAGGATATGCTTCCAGCGACAACCCAAACTGACAGATGAAACCTGCTGTGAACTGTACAGCACTTTCAATGTAAGTTGGATGACCCAGGCTGGACGACTGGTGAGGTTGGGATTTAAATCATGTTGTGACAAATGTGGACGGAACGTACAGTAAGTGATGTCCAATGGAACAGTAGAATAAAGACCAACCCATCACAACGGCAAAACACCCCAAAGTTTCCCAAATGAAATGGATGGAACTACAATGTAGTGCCTAAATCGGAATCTTGGCGTATGACCTCTACAAGAATGAAACTCTGTCTCACTGGAGGGATCTTGATTTTGCGAGTTGGGACTGGCCCACGGTGCACACATAGACACGGGCCAAGAAACTTTGTAGACAGATTGACGGTATAGTAGCCCCAGGAGTGTTTGGACAAATGTGTAGGTGCATTAAACGCCTGGAACTGGGGGTAGTTGTCCTTAGCTGGGTTTGTCCAAGAATGGGTATATTTATCCCCAACAAAAATGCAATTTCAATAGGGTCAATTACTATCAAACATGTTTTTATTTCTATCTTTAATGCATTTTGGAGTCCCCTATTTTCACACAACCCCCAGCTCAATCAAGAAGGTTTCACTGCCGGCACCTGGTTCTCCTTCAGCACATCCAAAATGGCCTCATTCTAGGTCAGTTGAGATATTTCAGGTGATGCTTTGGGACAAACTATAAACGTCACGGTACATTTTAAACAAACAAATGGTAGAATCAATGATCAATGTGTTATTTCGACCAATAGACCTCCAACATCAGGTTCATTAAGCCCTTCTTCCAATTTCCTTCAGTTCCTCTTCCCCTCTTTGTTGGTTGATTCTCGTTAGAGCACCCCTGCCAAGATTCCCCAAGAGATAGAAAAGTACCCCCCTACCGAAACAGTGGCAAATGAATGCAAATTGCTCTTAATTGTTTTCGGGGGTTGCTGCGTATCCTGCATATTCTACAATCAAACATGGGAATTGAAAATCCATGAGCATCCCTATAAATGGAGGTTCATAGCTGGGAAAATCTACTATATATTGTTAAAATATATTTTTTCCCGTTATTTTCCAGCACACCATGTTTGACCATAGGGTATTCATTGAGCCGCTCGGCCTCCAGGGTGGAAGGGGAGTTCAACAGCGGCACGTCATCGATGGTTAGGGCGGCCAACGGACGTCTCAAGGAGCGTCGCCAGACCACCTGTGGAGCGAGTGACCTTTTAAGAACCATCTTGGTAGTAACTTACTGGCGTTGTGGAACATTTCACTATGGTTGATAGGAAAATCATCGATGGTGTTCAAAAAAGCCAGCTTTGCTTACTAAAGGCCAAATGAATATTCATCTCCCCCACTCCCGATGGTCCCAGAAGAATTGACCCATCCCATCCTTTCCACCATTGGGTCAATGTCTCCATTGTTGCTGCTTGATCTATTGATCCAAGTCATCCAAATCCACTTCTTTTGGTTTTGAGGGCCCACTATTGTAAGAAATCCCCATATTTGGATGCTGAAACAAATGATCTAGACTCTGCACCAAACCGAGAAGCGATGTTACATTGCTAGGCGCGGCCAGGCCCCACCGTCTCTGGGCCGCCCCACATCTGGAGGGCATCCTAAGTGCGGTGCCTCAGGCTTTTTCCGGCTGAAATACCCAATTTCAAGATGTTTCAAGGAGTTGCCAGTGGATTTTCCATGATTTTCCAATGCCTTTTTGTCACTACTGGATACACAAGTCAACATGTCTCAACCTGGATTGACCCAGCCAGTCAGCCAGCAAGATCCCTTCACCCAACTTCCAAAGCTTGAAATACCAACCAAGTTCGAAACGTTGATGGCTGTTGTTATCCAATGTCTTCTGTCTTGTCATCGTCGTCATCGTCGTCATCGTGGTCATCGTCATCATCGTCATCATCGTCATCATCGTCATCATCGTCATCATCGTCGTCATCGTCGTCATCATCATCATCATCAGCACCAGCAGCAGCAGCAGCAACACCACCAGCAGCAGCAGCAGCAGCAGCAGCAACACCACCAGCAGCAGCAGCAGCATCATCATCATCGTCATCATCATCATCATCATCATCAACCGCATCATCATCATCATCATTATCATCATCATCATCATCACCATCATCATCATCACCATCATCATCATCACCATCATCATCATCATCATCGATCATGATCATGCCTCTCATTCTCGCTATTGTTGTCATTAATGCCGCAATTGATACTGGTGAATAAACAAATCATAAATTATCTTCCAAGATACAGGAAAAACATGGAAAAACACACACATTTTCCAAACATCAAACCACATGGCCTAGCCCCAAGGCCACGTGACCAAATCCAGAAACCAATCGTGCAGAAAGTAGCTCTGTTCCTGCAGGAGTCGGCAACATCTCCAAGATGGAAACTTTTTATAGTGCGGTCCACAAGAAGATGAATGAAATACAATGACAAACAACATACAATACTGTATACTACTGTATCCAACTGACAACTTGACATATTCTTTCACTACAAGTAGCTCGTGTTGGAAGTTCTTTTGCGGAATTGCTTTGGAAGATGGCGCATGTCCAACTCACAATACCGAGAAAAACTAGATACCATCTACTAAACATGGTAGAACAAACCTTTTTAACATCTCGGCCTTTGCCAATTATATAAACATCTGCAAACTGAGGAATGTGTCCCCCATGAAGTCTATTGATCTGGTGGCTGGGAGTTTAATCTTCTCTTGAATTTGGATTTGAATATATAATTCGTGTTTATTGAGGCCAAACGTCTCATCCACACTATATCAAGCCCTCGTTGCGTGCTATCCCTCTTGGATTTAGACATCGGAACCCAATGAGGACATCAGTCACAAAACCTCCATGGCCCATGGCTAAAAGGTACGTTTTTTCACCTCCTGCCATCATCATCCCACCCCCCCGCCAGCAGCAAGGCCAGCATCAGGCCCAAAATCCATAGGGTGCCAGAGCGACGCAT